CCTAGCGGTAGGAAAAATAGGGGGAAATTTGACAATTTTTTTTCATACAAAAAATTTTTTTACTAATAAATCTGTAGATACATCTTAAAGTAGGTCCTTTAATGTATATTTGGTAAAATTTTCATTAATAAATATTGAAAAATGTGCCGTGGAAACGTCATCTCCTGGAAGCTGTTCGACGAAGCGGTAACCATTGTAGCTCCTCTAATTTTTATCTGAAATCAAAAGCCAAAAAATTTTCTTAACGTATATAAAAAAAATAAGTTATTGTAGCCGATTTTTAAAATTCTGATTTTTCAAAAAATGGCGGCCATTTGAATGCGAAGGTATCAGATTGAAAATTATATCTTTGCATTTAAATGGCCGCTATTTTTCGAAAAATCACAATTTTAAAAATCGACTACGACAAAAACTTCCTTTTTTTATATACCTTAAGAAAATTTTTTGGTTTTTGATTTCAGATAAAAATTGGAGGAGCTACAATGGTTACCGCATCGTCGAACAGCTTCCAGATGATGTCTCCACGGTACATTTTTCAATATTTATTAATTAAAATTTTACCAAATATACATTAAGGACCTACTTTAAGATGTAGCTAAAGATTTTTTAATAAAAAAAATTTTTTTATGAAAAAAAAATGTCAAATTTCCCCCTATTTTTCCTACCGCTAGGTGTATGTAGCCCCTTAAGGTAGCCTCAGATAATCTGAGGTAATCTGAGGTAATCTAAGGTAATCTTAAGTAATCTGAGGTAATTTAAAGGTAATCCGTATCAAGGGTAATTTTTGTACACTATAACCACTAGTGACCTACCCCTCGAAATATTCTGGTGTAATAATCGCGTAAAAATAAATGAAGTAAATCGTAGAATTCAATCGCTTTTCTCCCAGAGAGAGAAAATACGCAAATAACTTCGTTATTTAAAAATCATTAATTCAGCGTTTATGTCAATTTTAACTTAATTGCGCTAGTTTTTCCCTCATTTTTTCGAAAATGCTAAAATAAGAGATCGACCCTCCATAATACAGGGAGAATTCGACTCGAAAAAAATTCTAGCTATATTGTAAAAAAAACTGACTGAAACTTCTGTAGCTTTTTTGCAGACACACTTCAATTTTTGGACATACTTTTCTGAACTTTCAGAAAAACTCTCAGAAATTTTTTTGACATCCAGATCTGAAAATTCAAATAAAAATGTGTTTAAATTTCAAAAAAAATTTTACAGTGTATATCATTACGTTCAAACGATGAATCGTGAACACGGTGTCGGCTAGTGAAGCTGCGACATCGACTTGTTCCCAGATATATCAGATAGATCTCTCTTGGGACTTTTTCGCCAGCAATTCTGACTTTGCCATTTATCAGTAAAAGCGAAGTAAGACGCGCGTCGAGATACCTCATGGTAAATGTAATACAAACTAGTTGGAATGCAATTTTCACATGTTATTGTTCCCGTCAACAATTCCCGATGTAAAATTGTGACAATGCGACGCGAAGAGGCGAGAGATGTTCCATTCGCAAAATTCGCGCGGTTGTCCCTCTGTTTGTCGTCGTTTAATATCATAAATGCACGTTATATTATTACGTGTAGAAGCTACAATTACAAAAATGTATATGTGTATATTTTCTATATTTATACCTGCGATTTTGCAACAAAATAATGCAAAATAATGGCGTTTCTTCTAATTTCGGATTCATAATGGGTGAAATGTCATCATTTATAAAAATAAATGAAAAGCTTCCTCTCTTTATAAATTCATCCCATTTTCTGCGTTCACGTAGCTAACACGAATAATGGTGGAATAAAATGAACATCCGCGTATTTCATCGTTCGAAAAATAAACCAATGCGTCTGCTGTAAAAAAAAAAAAAAGATATTTGCTACGTCATGCACGTCACACTAAAAAGAGATATACGACGCTTCGACAACCGTTTCTCATAAATAGAATATACTTAGCCGTTTCGTTCGTGTCTCGCATGGATGATAAGTTACATTGACATTTACACTTTCGATAAAATACAAAGCGATTCGCCTCTCTTCTTATAGCTCGTGGAAAAGGTCGCCCGATCCCTTAGTCTTCGGCCTCGGCGTTTCAAATCGCCGTCTCGCGAAGTACATATACTTCATCGTGTGTACCAACATTTCATCAACGTAATTCGCTCGTAATCCCGGGGAACATTTCGAAAGCAATTTTCGCGAAAAAGCGGGAACGATCTCTTCCCCCCCCCCCCCCCGAAACCCCCTCGCGTTTCCGCCTGATTCAATCCGCGAAAATTTCATTCGAATCGATCGTCGCGAGTCCATGTCAATTTCTCGCGTGTTTATAATCCTTATATAATCTAGATTATATATAAACGTTACCGAGAAAA